AAAGATCAATTAAGTACCTCTTTCCTTGCGGAGCGCTTTACGCAACCCCTAAACCTTGCCTTAGACACCAACTAATCTGAGAAAACTTAAACCGGTTCACTTAAGGATTTCTTGTTCCTTATTGAGCTCGAATCCTTAGGGGCCAACGTCTAATGAGTTTTATTAGGCTTGGGTGGTGTAGTGAGGAATTAGTGATTTTTGGGCTAAGGAAAGGGTGATGAAATCCCTCACCTTATCTTGATTATGGGGTTTTGCCCTTAAAAATATTTTTAAGTGTGTGTCAAATCAAGATGCTCAAATCACTTGGTGAATTCCTACTAACTATATGAAATGCAACCCTATGAATTAAAAGCAACTAAAAAGGATGGAAAAGAAAAATCTTTTTTTTTAATTAGGGTTAACAATCAAACAAATGAGAAGGGGGGATTTGTTTGAATTTATTATCTTGTTAGTAAATGTCAAAGTGAAGGGTGAATTTTATTATGGTCAACGGAAATAAAATCTTTTTTTTTAAGATCCTAATTGTCACTAATTGTGAGAAACTAACTAAAGGTGTGGAATTGAAAATATAAGGAAGAAGACTTACCACAAGCGAATATCCAATTCCTCAATCTCCAATTCTTGATCTTTAATCTCCAAGTAGTTCTTTCACAATAAACACACAAGTTAAAGAACCAAAATAATTAAAACCTACTTAAGCACCTTCCCCGGCAACGGCGCCAAAAACTTGATGCGGCATAAACATGTACCAAAAAGGTTGCAAGTGCACAACCGTGTCAAGTTATAGTATTTAAGATATCGATCCCACGAGGAAGGTGTTTTGTAGGAGAAAATATAAAATCGGTTCTTATGTTGTGTGTGTGACAAGTAGGAGTGATAAGTGAATGTGATTGTGGAGAGATAGAGAGAGTGGAAGTGATAGTGTGTAAATCGGCACGAGATATAAGTGAGAGTGGATGTGACAAAGAATGAATATGATCAATAAGGCAAGAAGGAAAAGGAAAATAAAAATCAAGAATAAAGAAAATAAAATTCAAGAATAAAAGAAAATGCAAGAAATTAAAGATGGTGGATTCAATTATAGATATGGGTAATCTACAATTGAACCCACTTCTTAGAAAAGGGTGATTCCCTAGAGGGTTCTAGCCTAAAGGCGAATCAAACAAAATAAAAATAAACAAAAGGAAAAACTAAACCCAAGAGGGTTCTAGCCTCAAGGTGAATAGTATAAGAAATTAAAATCTAACTATAAAATAATTTGCAAAATCTAAACTACAAAATAAAATTGCAAGAATTAAATGCACGAAAATAAATCTACTCTATAAGCATAAAATAAATCTAATCTATAAGCATGAAATAAATCTAAGGCAAGAGGGTTCTAGCCTCTTGGCTATTTAACAAGAAAATAAAATCTAAACTACAAGCATAGAAATAAATCTACACTAATAAGCAATAAAAGAGAAAAAGGAAAGAAATGCAAACCTTCAAACAATTCTCCATCTTCATCTTCATCTTCATCATCCAATAAAGAGAAGAAGAGAAAAATTTAAAGTGGTGAAAAAAATTATTATTATTAATTGCAACTAAAGTTATAATTTTTGGAAGGCCTTCTCAATTAAGAGTAGCCCTCCTCTCCAAAAGGAGTTTACAAAATTTTCACACCTCTAACCCCTCACTCTCTACCCCTATTTATAGTAAACATCAGTGAATGAGAGCCATTGGATCGAAATCTTATCCAAAAACATCAATTTTCAGCCTTTGATTCGTAACAAACTGCCCAGCGTATCGATACCATGATTTTCGAAATGCAACAAAACCGGCCCACACACTCATTCATGCAGCAAAAGTCCAGAGCTCATTTGGTCTCTTTCATTTATCTGCACTCATGCATGCTTTAATGAATGGAAAAAAGGTCCGGCCCATTCCAAGTCCAAGCAATTTTCGGCCCATGTATGATTTCTCTTTCATTTTCAAAAACATCAAGCCATCAAGCCCAAGTTTGCAGCACAACTAATGAAACCGGCCTCCATTCATTAAAATCCGAATTTTTGCATCCAAGCCCCTTTCATTCCAACTCTTTGCATCCATGTCCAATTTGAAACTTCATTTGTGTATTTATTTGTTGATGGGCCTTGGGCCTTCAAGGAGCTTGATTTTGTGGCTTCAAAAATGCTACAAAATAGAGAAGAGAGATTTTTAAGGGGTTTTTACATTTAATAATATTTATTTATATTTTTATTCAATTATGTGCAAACTAATCTAACAACAATTATTAATGGTATATTTATTCATGTAAAATAGATAATGAGGGTATAAAATTATAATAAAATGTGATTATCAGTGACATTGAGGTCCAACCCGAGCCTTGGGCCTTCAGTCTCAATTACCTTATATGCCTTAGCAATCTTCAAAGTATCCCCGACCAAGGACCCATCGTCCAAATACCAAGCATGAAGAGCCAACTTGCGCTCTTTCTGCACTCAAAGAATCAACGGGTGAAGCATGAGCGCGTACAACAAATGCCCTAACGGTTCCCCCTGCTGGATCCCCCGAGCAGACCAAATGAAATCCATCCCCAAATACAGTCTAGCGGACTACACATATAGAAATTCCACCCAAGGAGAGATCGCCGAACACTTAAGGCGCACCTCCCGCAACATACTACTCCTGTCGACCAAGTTAAATGCATTCCGAAAGTCGACTAAAAGCATGAAGAGTGAGTCCTCTGCATGGTGGACAACAACGAACCTATTAACCGCATGCAAAGCTGCTTCTGCCCCTCTTGAAACTCCCACCCCAAACTAAAAATCTCCCAAGTAACTCATCATGTCCTTTCCCACCTTCATCATGGCCACTTTAGAGACAAGACGTCTCCAAATGGTACCTACCGCAATCATTCTTATGCCCCCATCACTCTTCAACAACGGAGTGAGGGGAGAACTAGCAATAAACTCTGCCAAGGAGGCCGGACAACGCCCTTGCAACCACAAATTAACCACTGGAGTGAGAGCCGTGAGAAGGTTGTAAGCAGTAGTGGATTTCGGACCACAAAGTGCATCTAACAAGTGCTGGGCTCGAAGGCCATCACGGCCACAAGAGGTCCCCTTAGGGAAGGACCGTATGCAACGGAGAACCTCCCTGCAATCCACTAAGAGCGGCTCTTGGTCATTCCCAAAAGCTGGCAACACCGGAGGATGCGCCGAAGGGTGCTTTTCCTCAAGGGACTGAATCGTCTACGGGGTGTCCGATGCAACTCCCGAGGACGTGAGGACCTTCACGTCCGCTGAATAGTGCCCATCCGATATCTTCCTCAAATACTATTTAACATTGTTAGCAGTTGGGCGAGCATCGGGGTTGTCAAGTCGGGTAGAGGGGGGAGAAGGGAGCTCTCTGAACATGGTATCAAGGAGTTTTGGGGGCCTCCAACCTCACCCCAGGTGGACAATGCCTCCAAGATATGTCGTTGTTGAAGAGTCTTTCTGTTGCCTGACCTTGAACTCTTGCGATCATGGGTTTTAATAACCCTTAAAGTGCAACACGACAAGATCAAAAGCCATACCCAAGCGTCACAAGACCGTGGGTTGGAGGACACCCCAAAGAGCGAGGCTTTGAGGGTAGCCGAGAACGCCAACCTACAAGATGAGGGAACACTTTTAACCGTTCGAAAACCCCAATTAAACACCCTGTCAACTGTACTACTGTCGAGCTTACAATAATGTGGACCCAAGGAGGGGATAGGGAACATGGACTCGAGGCTAGGAGGGGCGCAAAGCCGAGTGATACCTACAATGACACACCCCCATTGCCCTCGTCGTCCTCTGAAGATGGTGGAACAGATAGTCCCTTGTCATGCTTACAATGCTTACTTAGAGCACGGATCCTCAAGCACGTAGCACACATCCATTGCCCCATAACACGTAGGGTGGCCTCAAAAGCATTGAAAATGGTGATTACAATGGAAACCGTGTGCTTTTGGAACGATGAAAATAAAACAATGGATAACTATTATTGAGATCCATGAAGTAAGATTTATTGGGAAATTCAAAGGTCTTACATTTACATGCATATTCTATTCGTAGTCAAATTGTTTTTTCTTAGTAATTATATAGAATAAATAGAAGTAAATCAAAAAGGGACAGAACTTCAATTTTGGTAAAGCAAAAATACGATGCATTGTCGTTTCTAACCATATAAAAATTGCATAAACAATTTTTCTATCTTTTCGAGCTATATGAAAGTGTAAATTACACTAAACTCTCAAGAGCTTTTAGTGTTTCACAATAAACCCGCGATAACTTTCAAAATTGCACTAAACTCTCAGTAACTTTTGGACTTGCAAAAGACAACCAATAAAATTCTACTTTTTTGCAGATAACCCCATAAATTAGAACCAAAAAGTAGGCTAAATAGCATTTAATTAAATGCATTATTGTTCCTCCCCTTTAGTACTTATATACCTTTAGTTATATTTCGTAGCATTTATATACTCTTAGTTGGTCAAAAGTAGCATGTTAATACCCTTTATTTTGCAAACGTGAAAACTTACATCAGAATGTTCCTATATAATATTTATATGTTAGTTTTAGAGTTAATATTTATTAAATTAATATTAAACCTACCCAAATTCTAATTCAAATGTATCATAATTCTATTTCAAAAATAGAATTTGAAAATATTTAACATTGAATTAAAAAAATTAATAGGTAGAAAGTCATAAGATTAGCATATAAATGTTATATGGGAACTTTCAAAGAAAAAAATCCGCGTTCGCAAAACATAGGATAGAAACATGCCAATTTTGACCAGCTCAGGGTACATAACTAATTAAGGGTATATAAGTGCTATGTGAGTGAAACTATAATGTATTTATGTGCCATATAGTCCAAAATATATCATAAGAAGGCATTTTAAAAGTTATTGAGGTTTTAGTGTAATTTACCAAAAGGGTTTTTTTTTGCAAAAGTTGTTGGGGGTTTATGGAAGTTCTTGGGGTGTGCATAAACCCGCGAGAATTTCTCTGTTCATAGATATACAATAAGTTAAAGAAAACATCATCAACAAAAAAGTGGAGGTAGGCTATGTTTAAGATATTGATCTCGGTTTCCGATTGATAATTATATTCATGACTTCTCTAAAAGATTATCCAAATACAAATTGAGGATGTATCTTCCAGTTGACTGCACATCAAGCCTCTTCTCACTTGGTTCATATTTCCCCTTGCGCAGCTGGTACCGGTGCGTCACAGCTGATACTGTATACATTTGGCCTTCAATTGTCACGCTCTCTCCACAGTGTATATTCTGCAAAGAAACAACAAAAAGAAAGAAAGGAAAAAAAAATCTAGAGATGGATAAAAACAAGAATAAATCTTTGAATTAAACATTACAATTTGCAAGGAAAAAGGCGTTCAGACCTTTGCATGAATACGTAAAGGAGGATTTCAAAATAATAGAACAAAAATTTGTCAATCCAATGTAAAACTGCGATTACGACATTTAAGCATATGGAAGAAGCTAGACAGTTAAAGGAAGAAAATAATAAGCAAGAAAGCCAAAACCAGGAAAAAGGAAGAGCAAGGTTGGAGCATTAAAAGAAACCTACAGAAATTTTTCTCCCAAATGAAAGATATTCCAACTAGAAATTTATGAATACTCCCATAAGCAATGGAAAAGCGAAAACGCAGTTGATCCTGTATGAGTTTGGAAGATATTCGCAACTTATACACTCCGTAAACCTCCATAGTCTAGCTTCCACCTTCTTTCTCTTCTTCTGTCGATTTGCATTAATTCCAAATTTTCTTCTAGTGTCTTCTTTTCATGAATCTATCGACTTGTTGGTAGAAATCACTTGTTAATCACTATGAATCAAGTTGGTGCTTTCTTGCTTTGATTAAGACTACTACTCTATGAATTCTGTACTTCACAACAAAATGATAATCTTGAACAAGCTTATTTTCAAACTCAAATATATTGCTACTAATCATGCATGGAAAAAGTCATCGACCAGTGTGGAAACCAAGGAGATAATCTAATGAAGTGTCTCATCGTGACACAGTTATAAATGCTTGATATGGGGCTTAATCAAACTTTAGATATGTCCTCTGGATATGAGAATATGCTATCTAGTTGTATGCATGTTCTTTTATGTGTTTGCATGTATCTGCATGTCCATCAGTCCATGTGCACGTGCACGTGCCAAAGCATGGTGGCAGCTAAAAGAAGAACTAACATAAGAACTTAAGAATTCAAGAAACATAGGTAAACTCGATCTAAAAGATTACTTTTATATATCTATTATAATCAACCGAGAAAAGGGAGTGACAATAGCCTTGATAACTTATTGAATAAGTTATGGTTCTTCTTATTGTAATATTCTTTCTTTTTCTTTTTTTTGCTTCTCTTTTCTTCTTTTGTTGTTTTTTGTCTTTGTTTCAAGTTTTTTACTCAATTGTTGATTGAATTCTATTGTGTGGACTAGCAATTTGATACATGTGGATGAAAGAAATACTAGGGAGGTGTAATTGAAACAAAAAAAATCACAACTTTATTTTCTAAAGAAAAAAGTCACGAAAATGTAACCACAGTTTCCCCCCCCCCCCCTCCCCAAAGAATAAGGTGGATAATAGGCCACCTTCTCGCTTCAATAGAATTAAAATCAAACTAATTATCTTTTCGGATGTCAAGACCTTGTGGCCTCCTTTTGCCATGTCAATCTGTTAGCAGCTCTCCACAAGTCTACCTCTAGTCTATAGTTAAGTGTCTACCATCTGAATTTTAATCAATCTCCATATAGAATCTGGATATTATCCCTCTGTTAGTACAACATTCTCTGATAGTCCTTTGATCTAGGGAATGTACAAGGGTTTAGTCCGGTTTATGGTTGTATAACAAACATAACCATCCACATTTGCAACATCACCAAAAAGTCCGAGGGCTCAATATGGTGAATTCTAGCATGCTGGATGTTTATCGTAAGACCCAATCAACTTCCACTCGGATTACTATTAAAGCAGCAATCAGCAGTGCAGTATAGAACATTATCACTTTATACAGAAAAATTAGCTTCCATAGAAATAAGGTGACGGACCATGACAATCAAAGGGAATATTCTGAATATCCCCATAAACTTGTTGGATGTTTATTAGTTGGTACTAATCGGCTCGCCATGACTCTACTACAACCACAGGACATGTTGAATCTAAATGATAGGAGATATGATCAAGGAACATATACATGTTATTGAGAAAATTTCTGAGTTTCATCAGCTGAACTGGATTGTATTTCCTGAATACCACAGCGAGATTGTTTATCAATTACTCAGGGAAAAAAAATGGATCAAAGAAAAGGAACTAATAAATGAGAGATTGCTGTTTGATAATTCAATCATTGAAGGAAGTGATTCTTTATGTTCTTTTGCCTTTCAAGTGTTCAAGTACAGCAAAATTAAGTTTCTCATCACCCTTTTAACTTCCCATTCGAAAATAAAACAAAAGAAATAAAAGCCTTTCCCCTATGTCTGATGTGTGTGTCATCAATTTTTCACTTGCCTCCAGATTCCAGTGCAGAAACTGCTATCATACTGATGTTTTAGATGAAAAAAAGCCTAATATTGTTGGTGGATAATGTGGGGGGTGAAATATCTCGAACTAAATCATAGAAATTTTCAGGGTTGTAGGAAAACTTAGTAGCCAATATAAGGCTTAATTATTGATAGAAAGGAGCACGTTTTCACCTCGTCCTTTATACGTCAGGAAAAGTATTACTGGAATAACGAATATATCATTAAAAAATTCATAAATTTCCTACTTATTTGCCTACAACAGTGTCATTAAGTTTAGGTATTTAATAACAGAAACCGTCACCTGTTTTCTTCTTATAACCTTTAAAAGTCTAATCATATAAGAATAAGGGGTACAAGGAGGAGGGGAGAATAGTTATCAAAGACCTGGTAATTGTTCAAAGAGTTACATATGACAAATACAGCTGCGTTTTAAGTAAAGTAAATTCTGAAATTTTGTCCATCACACAAGTTTGTTCTTGTTGAGATTTTTTATCGTCAATTATACTAATAAATTACTCGAGTAGATGATTAACGCAATTAACCCTGTTCTACATATATATCACCAAACCTAGATGCAAATAAATTTAATGTTTCGAGTCTCCTAAAATTAGATCAGACAATTCTAATGTTGTTAATTTCTCAGACAAGGCCATCCATTTTGCAGATAGTTAATATAATGAAAAGGAAATTATAAACTATACGAATTTTACACACGTAGATCTTATGATTAAAAATCAAGATGGACGATGTTGATAATCAAATTGAGTAAGCTGTCAGGCTAATTCGTTATAAAAAATTGATTTCACCATTTCATTTTATCATTTTTTATCTTTGCATATTATATATATCATATATGGAAAAATGGGTATGGGGTGAAAATTCATTTTGCTAAATAAGCTATCAAAAGTTACACGATTACCGCGACCCACCTTGCTTCCACTCATATCTCCTCTTGATTGCTCATTTTGCTTGTTAAATGAGGCAACCCATACCCACTAGCCTAAAAATATAACATTTATACCGAGTAAAATTAGAATAAACTTAAGTGGACTGATGACTCTTGTTCACAAACTTTTTCTTCAGGAGATTAAAAACAAGAAGAAGTTAGTGGACGTAACAAATGCAGCCTTATGATACATGTAATGCTCCAACTATATAGAATTTAAAGAGTAAGCAAAAGGGTCCTGAAATGGGCAAAAATGCTTAAATCAAACACTTATTGGTAACAAGCATACCATAGGGAGGCATCGGACGCCGAGATGGCGCGGCGGCGGAGTGATCTCAACCACTTGGTAAGGGTAGCGCTGATCCCTGTCCCTGTCCCTCTTCCTACACACCACTTCAAGAAACCCCCCGTTCTTCAACCACAAAGAGAGAGGACAAAATTAACCCACAAGTTGCAATGATCAAAGACCCATTTGTTTAAAAACTGTGCGTGCTCGGAATAAGATATTGACGAACCTTGTAACTGGTTGTAGTGCTTGAAGCCAATGCCATTGGAGGTTTCAGGGTTCTACGAGATTCTGATGGTTGTTGTGGGGGGGAGGATTTTTTCATTGAGTTCGACGGTTGTAATTGGATTGGGAATCAAAATATGGGTTCGGTTTTGGGAATGGAACAGTCTGTGACGCAAATTGGTCCAGCACAGCTGGGAGTCCGCAGTAGGGGATTGCGGGTGGGCTGAGAGTTAGCTGTTCGGCTTAAATTTGAGCCGCATTTGTAGGCCCGTTGGCTTTGTGCATAAAGGCCGTCCGAAACTCTTGACTCTAAGAGCATCTCCAACAGCTTCTCCAAAATTTTCTCCAAAATTTTCTCCAAAATGGGGAAGCAAAAGTTATATTCTCCAACTAATTTTTAAAAAAACTCCAACAGCTTCCCCATTTTGAAGAATTTATTTTTTCCTCCAAAAATTTGGAGAATGCTGCAGATTTGGGGAAGCTTCCCCATTTTTTCTCCTCCATCCCTATTTTGGGAAATGAGATGGGGAATCTGTTGGGCCAAAAACCTAACTAAATTCCCCAAAAGTGAGAAATGGGGAAGCTGTTGGAGATGCTCTAAGAGGTGGACCTGAGAGGCCCTTACCTCACCTTACAAAATGGATGGATTTCTATCTTTTAGGCCTCCCATTCTCTTTCCTTGCTGATTGAAATGTACCAGGAAAAATTGTGTTAGCGCCTCAAAGATGATTAGTTTATGTGACTCAGCCCCCGCTAATTATTTTTATTGTACATTGGCCCCTAAAATTGTATTTTACCCAAGTCACCAACTTTACCCGTCTTTTATTCTCCACCCAAAAATCCCCATCATCTCCTCCCTCCCTCCTCTCTCCTAACCCACTATGCTATGCTGATGCTCCTCTCTCCTCTCCTCCTCCTCATCTCTCCTAACCGTTACCTTCATTATGCTCCTCCCTTATCTCCTTCTAATCTCTCCTAACTCTAACCCTTACCCTCCTCCTCCCCCTCTTCATCTTTTCCTCCGACTCCGTCATCTCCCTCTCTCGCCTCCCCCGCCGTCACCATCGGCCTCTCGTCTCACTCTTCTTCTTCATCATCGCTACTTCCTACCTCGTCTCTTGCTGCCACTGCCTCCACGTTGTCCCCTGCTGCTACCATCTTTCATTACCCCTCAACAAGAATAGCGTTAGGGTGGTTCTCCCGCTCTCTTTCTCTTCTCATTTTTTATTCCTGCCTCCAATGTTCTCTTCACTCTGCCTTCTTCATCAAAAGATCCAAAAAGCTTGGATTTTGTGGCAATATTGATGTGGATTTCTTCAATTTAACTATGTGTGTTGGAGAGTGAATGATAGTGAGCTTGATTTTTGGGGGGAAATTGGTGGAGCTTGATTTGTTAGGATTTTGATGTATTTAGATATTATTGATTTTTGTGTGTTGCTAATACTAAAAATTTTGACAAATTGTTACACAACCTGTACTTTTATTGCTACAAATTTGGTTTTTATGTATTATGATTGTGTTCTTTTAGAATCGCCCACAATGTATCTGTTATTTTGCTTCAACTAAAGAACTTGGCGTATGTTGAATTCAATGGTTAAAAAATAGATTAATCTCATTATGAAAATCATGAAATTGTTTATATCTATACAAATGAATAAAAAAAGCAGACTGAATTGAGATGGCTGTCCATTAACCTTATTTTACTATGTTTTAGGTCATTGTATCCAATACATGTTAACTTTAGCCAGTATTTGTTAATTATATCTGATATCTGTTAACTTTAACATTACCTGTTAACTATATTTGATGCTTGTTAATTTTAGTCATTACCTGTTAACTATATCCACTACCTGTAGACTTCAGCTAGTACTTGTTAACTATACACCATACATGTTAACTATACCCAGTATTTATTAACTATATCCTCTATCTGTTAACTTTAGCCAATACCTATTAACTATTTTCAGTACAAAGATGATTCTACAAGAATATTGTACTCATCTTTAAGCAAAAGAAGACAGACAATACAACCCAAAATTGCATATATATGATGACAATAGATTCTAGTTATTTGCTTCACTCTTAGCATCGCTTTAGTTAGACATGCTCTCTACAACTTTATAACCCCGCTGCAATATGCCACACCATTCCCAACCCATAGACAATTCGATGAAATTATAAGCATTTTGGTTGTTAAATACAAGCATTTCAGTTGTTGAAAGATTCAGCGATATCTGATTTAATATGGTCATATATAAAAATATTTAACAGGTAATAAATATAGTTAAATAGGTACAGGCTAAAGTTAACATGTACTGGGTAAAGTTAACAGATACTAGCTTTAGTTAATATGTACTGGATATAGTTAATGAAAACTGACTAAAGTTAACAGGTACCTGATATAGTTAATATATAATGGGTAAACGTAACATTAAAGGGATAAACTTAATATAATTGATAAACTACTATTGGGAGTAAAAGTAAGTGTTACTAATAATTTCTCATCTTTAGTTTTGCTTTACAGTAGTTCTTTCTCATCTTTATTTGTGTAAAGCAAAAATTGAATTGTCTAATTGAACTTAATTGTGCATTCAAAATTAGGACTTTGTACTCTTCTTTCCATTTAAATGACAAAATAACTCGCATAGCATTAGCACGGGCCACAAAATGCTAATTCAATACAGTTGTGCATTATAAAATGAAGGTTATTTCTAAATCAAAGCTTTAAACTTGTAGAGACGTACACATCTCTCGTTGATATTTCATCAAATGATTTACAAATAATCTCGTTGATATAACGAGATTAATTTATTTTTTAACAATTGAATTCAACGCATGCCAAGTTCTCTAGTTGAAGCAAAACAACAAACATGCATATTGTGTTCCATTTCAAAAGAGCACAATCATAACATATAAAAACATCTCACATTCATAAAATTTGTGTTGAACTGGTTCCATTAGTAGATCATCAAATCACATTAACTTCATCAAAGAAATAATCAAAATTTTCATTTTTATTAGCATATCTCTGTAGGGTGAATATTTGATTTCCCGAAAACAGGGAGTGTTTGTTTGTATTAATAAGAAGGCTTATTACAAACTAACAAATCAAATGTTTACAACAGAAGCAGAGGGAAAGCCCTCTTTGTTTTGTGTGGGGACTTTAGGTGGCTATAGGATGCTTCGCTCGATGCTCGTGTCGAGTCTGCTTCCCTTGGACCGTTCGATCGAGGTTGCTGGAGAGCTTCAGTACGCAGTAGAAACTCGGGGCAATAGAGTTCGATTCTGCTTAGTTCGCCGGCGATCGGAGCTCGGAACTAAACAGTGATGCTGCAATGCAAAGGTTATGCAGAGAGCTTGGTCTCAATTCTTTTCTCTAAGTTTTGCGACCTCTCCTCCAGGGTGCTGGAAGGGGCTTTTAAATGGAAGAAGGACAGCTTGACTCCTCCTTGAATTGTGGGATGTGACCACATCTTCTTCAGAGACGACCAGCTGCTCCTCGATACCATGAATGGTCATTCCAGGGATTGTGCTTTATGTCCTGTCACCTACGATGGGAAGGCCCATTCTTGTATATGAGGCAACGGCCGTCTGTTATCCGAGTGGACCTGACCGGCATTAATGAACCGCATTTATGAGTTCGCAGATCGTCTGTCCGATCACTCGTACTGTGCGTGACCGCCCGGCGTGCTTTGAGCACGGTGCTTTCTCCTTTCCGGTCAGGAGAGGCGGCGAAGTAGGTGCACAGTACTCGAGTGGGTCTAGCCAACTTGCTGAGTGCCGGCGGATCCAGCTCTTGACCCAGACAGCTGAGGTGAGTCGCATTTATGAATGCTCAGGTTGACTCGACACCTATCCAGTCCTTCGCACTGTGCGTACTGCGAGCGACCGTTTGACGGTCTTGGGGTACTATGCTCTCTTCCCTCGGGTCGAGAGGGATGGGAAAGTCCAACTCAGCACGTGGGATAGCGGATACCCAGCTGTACTGACGGTCTTGGGGTACCCAGCTGTACTGACGGTCTTGGGGTTTGCTGGCGGATTCGACTCTGGACTCGGGCAGGCGAGTTGAGTGAAAGGCGAACTTCCGCCATCCTGATCGATCTTAACTCGTGCTGGCGAGCCGACCGTAAGGCGAACCTAGAATCGAACATATCTGACGTCTATGCGATTTAGGCCCGTGCCAGAGAACCGAGCGTGCGAGCTCTTCTCGCAGGCGAATTTCCTGTAATCCTATAGAGGTATTTTTTACCGTCTACAAGACCCCCTTCAAAGTTTTCAGACCTAAACCGGCTCGCGTGTGGTCTGGAATACTTTGAATGAAGAAATTTTCGGCGAAGTAAGCGCACTTGATTTCTTTTAGGATTTTTAGCAAATCCTCAGCTATCAACGGGTTTGATGTGCCTTTACCGATCACCGTTTGAATCGGGCTAGCCATACTATTCCCCTCCGTATGATGAGTTGTCGAACAGTTTCTCTTAGGCTTAATGCTAAGATTTCTGCTCTAACCCTTAGCCGTCTGAGGCGTGGGTTTTAACCGTTTAAGCGAGGTCATTCCATTGGCTTTGTTTATGATTTTACCTTTAGTGGCGAGCGAGTAAATTAGTCTTTGGGCGAGCCCAAGTTCGCCGCACTCCGCCGGCAGGGTCATGCCCAAAGTATTTGCCAAGGGCGAAACCCTTTTTTGAGGTGGGCCCAGATCTGACGGGAGATGAGCCACGTGTCTGCTGATAGGGCTTTGTGCTTCCCAGCTAAGGTGGCGCGGTCTCATTGGGTCGTGGCGATCGTGGTTTGACAACACGATTTTCGTGTGTTTCGCCCCGCGACGCATCGTGGCCGTGGTTTTCGGGCTCAACCGTCGGATGCAGCCGCCAACCTCGGTTCTTTCGATATACCGAGGGTGATCTGGGCCGTTGAATTTGATCGTGGCCACGTCTTCTGTCCGTTAGGGTTTTCGTTTTTCGAGGGCAGTCGTGGCCACGTGGACAACTCCGCCCTTCTAAATCAGCCATTTTCCTCCATTGGGAGTTACTGTGCTCTCAAATCTTGAAAGGAACCTCCAAGGAAAGAATTCCCACTTCATCCTACAATGGCTCCGAAATCTAAGAGGTGCAAAGTGAGGGGTGCGGGCCCCGGACGTTATTCCGACCGTCTCTCCGCCGGCATGCCTGCCGGTGCTCTGGAG